AAAAAAAAAAAAATTTTTTTAAATGCATTAGCATGTTCTAGCTTGCATTGATGTTGCCTGAGAGAAGTCCTCTATTATCACTTTCCTATGCTACTGCCAAAATACTCATAAATAAACGCGTATATATTAACAATATAGCTGTAGAATTAAAAACATTGAATTAAATTTATTTCTAGTAGATTTATATCAAGTAGAAGAAATTCAAGTATCTCTTGATCGACTGAATATTAATTGTAGGATGTATATTAATGGAAAGATTTTTCATTTCAGCATTACGTAAAATCTATAGTTTCCTTTTTGAAAATTCTATGTCTCCCTTTCAAATTTAAGCTCACACGTTTAATAACATTGAAATTCCAAGGATAGGTAAAGCAATAATTCACTTTATTTATTTGAACAACTCATTTTTATCGTTTGTGATGCTTCTGCGTTCTTTGGATGAATATTTAAATTTGAGATAATGGAAAATATGAAACAAAATAATCGAAGATCGCAGTAAGATTAATGAAGCTAACATATGTGTATATCATTCATTGACTAATGATCATTGGTAATTTGATACAGGACGCTGTGATAAATGAACTGAAAAATAAGACAAGACTAGTTCAGGAGAAGAAATTGTTGCAGCAGGATGAAGTGTACAATGGTGCTCTGGAAGACATTCTTCTTGGGCTTAGATCAGAACCGTATCGACGAGCAGATGCTGTCAGGCGTAGCCAACGCAGACGTATCGATAATCACAGACTTTCTCGCACTGCCGAAGAACTAGAACTTTAAACTATGCTCTCCACGTTCAGTGTGTTTTTCATTTCAGGGAGAACAATCATCTCTTTTCAAGGGAAAAAATTTTCACTGCGTCTCTTGCGCTGATCAACGTTTTCATGCTCTTTCAAGCTCTTTCAAAACTTTTTTTAATTTTAACTCGATATTTACAATTTTGTACCAAAAGTTAAAGCACAATGTAGCTGCACGTGTGAATGTACGTTTACTGGAGCGTTTGAATTTTATTCGCCATAATTCACGTTCGAAAATCGAGATAAATTTCATGTGATAAACTTATTAAGCATGAAAGAGTTGTGCGCGCTGCGTTATCGAGTCAAAATTCATAAATGATGAATACACAGTGATGTCTTGTTAATATCAAAACGTTTGACTCCACGAAGGCTGACATTAACAGACGGTTCTGACTAATCAAATACATACTAGGAAGAAACGTCAGAGAGAGAACAAATCCGCTGATAAACTATGAATCATCGTGTTCTAAAAATAAAATTTCTAGAATTTTTACTGTTTCTCTAAGGTGTAAAGGGTTGATAAGATCTTTCAGATTATTTTAAATTAAATAAAAGTATATTCTAATATATATTTATCTAAGCTATTTCACTTTAACTACATATATAATTCATAAAAATGTATACTCTGAGTATATTTTTCTCTGTCTTGATATAAACAAGTTAATCATAATGAAAATAATCAGGAAAATCTCATTGACTTATTAAAAAAAGAGAAAAACATGATTCGTCATTTAACAGCTTCTTCATCCTCTTGTTCACCGTGTTTGCCTAGCTCGATAAATTGCAATCACTTTCTTAGATATTGACAGGACATTACTTAAGTATGGTAGAGCTGTAGATACAGTAATTTAAAACAAATATTGGAATTTGATATTGAATTATTCATATGTAAGTCACTTAATACGGTGCTATAAAATCGAGAGATCCAAAGCAAAATCAAATTTAAAATGCGAATAGTTTTTGCCAGTAATACTTTCAACAAACAGTGACAACGAGTAACGATGTTCGTCTGTTTGTTCAATATGTATTCTTTCTATTGTACAAGCCTAGTGAACGTAACTACGAAATACGTTTACGGAATATCATAGTAAATAGTAAATTTAGCAATG